TGATGGAAAACTTTGTACCATAACACATGGTAGTTCCTTATGGTGTCCATGGATGACATATGGGTCATTGGTTAACATGGTAGTTCCTTATGGTGTCCATGGATGACATATAGGTCATTGGTCAACATGTTAGTTGCTTATGGTGTCCATGGATGACATATGGGTCATTAGTCAACATGGTAGTTTCTTATGGTGTCCATGGATGACATATGGATGACATATAGGTCATTGGTCATCATGGTAGTTGCTTATGGTGTCTATGGATGAGATATGGCTGACATATGGGTCATTGCATAACATGGTAATTGCTTATGGTGTCCATGGATGACATATGGATGACATATAGGTCATTGGTCATCATGGTAGTTGCTTATGGTGTCTATGGATGAGATATGGCTGACATATGGGTCATTGCACAACATGGTAATTGCTTATGGTGTCCATGGTTGACATATGAGTCATTGGTTAAGATGGTAGTTGCTTATGGGGTCCATGGATGAGATATGGATGACATGTGGGTCATTGGTCAGCATGATAGTCTCCTATGGTGTCCATGGATGACATATTGGTCATTTGTCAACATGGTAGTTACTTATGGTGTCCATGGATTACATACGCATGACATATGGGTCATTGGACAACATGGTAGTCGCTTATGGTGTCCATAGATGACATATGGGTCATTGGTCAACATGGTAGTTGCTTATGGTCTCCATGGATGAGATATGGGTCATTGGTCAACATGGTAGTTGCTTATGGTGTCCATGGATTAAATATGGGTCATAGGTTAACATGGTAATTGCTTATGGTATCCATGGATGAGATATGGGTGACATATGGGTCATTGGTCAACATGGTAGGAACTTATGGTGTCCATGGATGACATATGGGTCATTGGTCTACATATAAGTTGCTTATGGTGTCTATGAATGACATATTGATGACGTAGGGGTCATTGGTCAACATGGTAGTTGCTTATGTTTTCCATGGATGACATATAGGTCATTGGTCAACTTGGTAGATGCTTATGGTCTCCATGAATGAGAAATGGATGACATATGGGTCATTGGTCAACATTGGAGTTCCTTATGGTGTCTACGGATGACATATGGGTCATTGGTCAAAATGGTAGTTCCTTACGGTGTCCATGGATAACATATGGGTCATTGGTCAACATGGTAGTGGCTTATGGTGTCCATGGATGATATATGGATGACATATCGGTCATTGTTCTGATGGGTGTTGAGCATTCTAACACTTCCTAAGTGTACATGCAACCCTAATAACCTTGAATCTATGTTTTCTCTATATACATGTAAATTTCTATTTCAAGGTTATTTCCTAACTAGCATGGCATGGGGAATACATAATACATAAAAACTAGTAGAAATACATACCTTGTTGTTTCTTGGATTCCTTCAAGACTTTGTGAGCCTAGCACCCCAAATGTTGTGCCTCAAATGCTTCACACAACACTACATACTTGGAATAACTTGAGAGAATGTCACTTAGCCTCAAAAATCGGTTATGCCCTCTTATAAATACACTAGTGCTGATTTTGCATGCTATAGGGTTTCTTTTATAGTGTGTCATAATTACGAGTTACAAATGTAAACCCTAATTGTCATGACGCTTCATTTCTCATGACCCATGGATTTGTAACTCCCATGGACTATCCATGGAGCTCCATATGGTTATAACGAAACCCATAAACCATGGATCATTAATCCACCATAAAAGAATTGATGATTGTCATAATCAACCCTATATATTTAATTAATCTCACTTCGATCACCAAATTAATACTAGCTTAATACTTGATCAATACTAATTAAATAACACTATTGTTAATATATTAGAACTTATAATATATTAATAATCATAAGTGCCATATTCTCTCATTTAGTCTATCCAATTATTGGAATGCCATACAACCCAAATGGACCATGCTGGGTCGGGTCAAGTTCATACCAAATAAAGTCATGGACTTAGACACTATATCCAATAGTATCCCACTTGGATAAGCCTAATAACTATATTTGCAAATATGACTTCAAAACCCGACTAGCAATCGTAGCTCTTTCAAAGTCTCTCGGAACTGAGATCATGATGATACGCCATTTAAGATAAGTGATCATATAATCCTCTGTTCTCAAGATATCAGTCGGACAAACACATGGAACATGGTCTTACTTATTGTCCAACATTTGTTTCTCGATCTCTGATTTGTTTCGACATATAACTAAATTGAACACATCAATTAGGTTCTGACCGGGCCCGGTACATAGGTCAAAACCAAATCATCGAGGGGCGCAAATATCGCTTCTATTTCTAGAAGGAACATGATAAACTTCGACCTGATATGCTTGTACTAAACTACTTGTTGAATTATTCACAAAGGCACGTTTTATAACATAGAGTTACCAATGCGTTTTCGTACAATCAATGAATAACCAACTCATAGTCAACAACTCATATCTCTAGGTTTGAAGATTTATATGAT